GGAGCCCCCCCCCCCCGCAGGGAGGCGGAACATACTGTCTCCACGCATGTACTTCCGCCGTTGTACTGTTCCACATTTGCGACTTTCCACGTGAAGCGAGATCCACTGCACACCTCGGACATAGTTTGGGTAGGGTTATATTTTAACGAGGTGGAGCTCCCCCGTAGGGGGGGCGGAACATACTGTCTCCATGCATGTATTTCCATGACGTACGACAGATGGAGATGGGAGGAGAGATATAAGATTTAGTGTCCATCATTTTTTTCGAAAACTATTACTCGCACAGTAAAAATGAATAGAACATAAAATGTATATTTCAAAGAGATCTACAACTTTTGTTTAAAACATTTTTCAAAATTTTAAATATTTGTGTCTGAAAATTACATATAATTGGTCGACATTGTTTTTTTAATAACTTTTTAACACACAACGTCCGCAGGCTAAAATCTTTTGCAGGTCACTCAGGTGGGTGACCTCTACAATATATGTCAAGCCCAAGGTTATTGGAGGTGGGTGTCCTAATCTAAATAATTACCCTTAGTTTAACCCAATCTACCACTATTTTCAAGTTGGCTACTTTTGCATCAGACACCCTGTATATTTAATTTTACCTTCATACATTCCATATAAATTTTTATAACATATATTTTTGTATATTCTATATAAATGTATAACATATCTTTATATATTCTATAACCTTTATAACATGTTATATTTTATTCTATAAATATGTTTATACATTGTTTCTTACAATCTCTGTAACTGTAGCTTCTTTATCTCTAGCTCGACTAATAAGAGTTCGGTATTCAGCTTGTGAGTCTCTGCTCTCATTTCTATTTCCTGTTGCAAGAATTGTTGTTGCAGCTCTAGGACATTTTTTTCAGTGAAGCAGTTTCTGTCTGTAGTGCTGTGTTGTTGCTTATGGTTCTAGTTGTACTTATTTTTTCTGCTTTTTTCTATGAAGGAACTTATCCGATAGTGGTGCTAAAGACATGAAAGTAAATATAACGTTTGTTGTAATAAAGATCCAGATTATAGCCAGAGCAATCCATTTCTCTTTGTATACAATATCAGGGCTTTTATACCTTTTTGTTCACTGGTAATAGTGTTTACATCAGGTGGAGGACTAGAAACATGCATACTCCTGCCTGCTTCGTTATCACCGGTGTCCTCAAACTCATCATTAGAATTATAAATATTGCATTCAGGTCCCAATGTCTCAGTAATATTTTGCCTGACGTCAGGATCATGAATATATTGGTGGCTGTCTTCATTCTCTTTATTCTCTTCATTCTCGTCAACGGTATTGTCTGCAACAGCTGCAACAAACATTAAAATTTGAACAATGTATCAAATACTAATATGTATTCAGCTTATCAGTACACAATATAATTACAATAAATACGTACCTCCAAAATTATCACTATCGTGTCTACTTGGCAAACCCAACATTCCAAGCTCAGATATCGATAGTAATTTCTCCTCATGACCTTCTAAACCTGAACACGGATTACTTCCACCTCCCGTTTTCTTCTGTTCTCCAGTCAATCGAGCACATTTCTTCCTTAAATCTTTTTTAAGATTTTCGTATTTCGCTCGAATTGACTTGGTGTTTCGAGGAAAATTTCCAGATTGAGCATTAAACTGTGATGTTCTTTCCTCCCATGCTGTATCTTTGTCTTTCCATGTAGTAGCATCAGTACGCTTATTTTCTATTACATTTTTACGTCGCAATACCAAGTCTACTAGAATATTCACTTCACTTTTTGTAAAATTTGCACTTCTTTTGTCCCTATTGACTACTTTTTTTCTGTCATTATATCGAATCTTATAACCTAGATATAATACTATAACCTAGAAATTAAAGAAAAGTCTTACTGAAAATATGAATTCAGATTCACAAAAACGCCTATCGCACATTATTAAAACCTTACAACTTACAAAACAATAAACCTGAAAAAGATTTCCAATTTGTATTTTTATACAACGTGAAGTTAACTGATGGTCAAAATTTACAGCGTTGTCACGTCTTCAACTTACATGCGCAGATATTATCTAACCTCAAGATGTAACGAGGACAGCCGGGGAGGCGCGGCCGGTAGTGAGAAAAAACCGAAATTCCGGGAGCAAGAGAGAAAGAAATAGAGGCGCGGCTGTTAGAGAGAGACGGCGCTACCAGCTATGGCTGGAAAATCGATAACGCGCGGTTGCCGCGTCGGCGACAACGCCGCGCCTGCCCCCGCCGCCTCGCCCCGCGCGCCGCCGTCCGGGGGGTATAAAAGCCCCTCCGGAGCAGGCGCTTTTAACTCAGTCGACGCTTGGTGCTCCGACCGTCGACACCGGGCAGTGGGTACCTCCGCTGCAGGTATAAGCCGGAGTGAATGGGTGCTCCTGTCTCCGGCTATACAGGGTGATTCAGAACAACCACTTGTCCTTAAAATGTCGTATTCTAAACTTAATTCTGAAATGATTTTTCCTCTTGCAAAATTTTCTCCGAAGCTTAGTTTTTGAATTATAAAGAGGAAAAGATATCGAATGACGGACCAGATA